AAGCCAAAGGGAGGCGAGGCCTGGGAGAAAGGCCGTGGGCGGGGGGCCGGGCGGTCGCCGTGACCGGGCGGTGTGGTCCGAGCGCAGCCGTCGCCGCGGCGTTGCCGGGTAAGGGGGTAGTCTACGTCAGCGCCTTGTCGCGGCGTTTCTTCTGTTTCTTGGTGGAAAAACTGAGTGTGACATGACAGCTAGGGTGGCTTGTGTAACAGGTTGTGGGGGTGTGACAGGGGGGGGGCTGTTGAAGTGAGGGTGGGAAGGTTGCCTCTGGTTCCTTGACTCGAGCATAATTAAAGACGGGACTTGAATTACCTAGTTTAGTTCACCTTCCAGATGGCAGTGTGGGATCAAGGAACAGCAGTATAAGTAATAAATCTTATGCTCACAGAGCCAAGGCTTGTTTGCTGGCTTTAAAACCCACCCCCTTTTCTTTTTTATGTTCCAACCTTCAATTTATTTTCCCGTGTGAGACAAACAGAAACTCCTTTTTTCTGTGTGGTACATGATTGTAAGGTGATACTACTTAAAACTGAGGAAACGACTTAAACTATTTACTCTTGGCAGTGCTGTAAGCCTCTGTCATCTTTGTCATTGCTTTTTAAATAAGATGAAGTTTGTTTTATGCTTCAGGTGTATGAAGAAGAGGATTATAGAAGAATTAGATTTGTTGGACGACAAAAGGAGGTAACTTGGTCTACTTTTACTCATGGGAGAGGGGGTGGTTTGTGGGGTTTTTTTATACCTGTCATGGATGTCCTCAGCTTGGTTGTCACTAAAAAAAAAGCCAACAAACCAACCTAATCTAAAACCCAAAACCATCCAACAAAAAAAAAATCACAATAAAAGAAAATTGTCTTGGGTTTTGATGGGTTTTTTTTCACTGTGGTGAAAATTCTCAATGTTTTTTTTTTCACTGTGGTGAAAATTCTTCTTTTAAGACCGCTTATAGTAGCTTCTGTGTACCTCCCTACCTCTGGTAACTTTGGAAAATTCTTGCCCTACACCTGTGCAGTGCTTACATTTAGGCTGTGGGACTTGTAGCCATCTGAGCATCTTAAATTGGGATCACTTGTTTTTTATAAGTATATGTCTTAAGAAAACTTTAAGCATGTTTTTAGTGACACCTGTGTTCAGAGAAATGACGTAGGTAAATGCTCTGCTGAGTTGTGGATCTCCACATCTGTTCACATGTGTGTTTTGAAGCTTAATTTGCCTCTGCATAGTTAAAATCTTGACATTTACTCAAACTGCGTAGGATTTTTTAATGAGGCCCCTTCATTTCCAGAGGCTAGGGAGCATTTGCTGAAACAGTGATGTGATTTAAGAAATAAAACTAAAATGTAGAGTGTTCTGAAATAAGGAGTCCTCAGAGGCGAAGTCTAGTAACACCAGCATCAGCCAAATGTGCTACTGTGAATTTATGTGGGCCTGTTGTTGATATAAGATGCGGTAAATTTTTAATGTAGTTGTGTATAATTGTTCTCTTCCTAAATTAACCTGAACTAATTATGCTGCTTTCTGAGTTTTCCTATTGAGTTCACGGATACAGATTAACTCATGCTGTTTGGCAAAATTAGGGATTCCGTGGGGAAAATAGCTCCATGAAAATGTCACTTGAAATGCTGTAGTTTACTTCTGGGTGGATAGTGGAAAAGTAGGTCTTTCCCAAATGCAGTGCATGTTTCTGTGCTGCTTCTGTAACATTGTAGGAAATACTCCCTAAGCCTAGTTCTCCACAGGGCACTGGTCCCTCTGATGTGCCTTTGCCAGCAGCTGATTTCAGACTCTGTGATGAGGAACACCCAGGGTTTTCAGCTCACCTCAGTTCCTCCTTCTCCAGCAAAAGATGAGCGTTAAGTCTGCTGAGCAAGGTTTAATGCTAGGTCTTAATTGTGAAGTCTGAACAAAATTTCATGTTAAATACTAACACAATCTTCATCTGTTTTTATTGATGTGATATCTCTAGGGGTTTTGCTGTTATCCTAGGGGATGTTTCATTTGCTATTATTAGGGTGTCACGGCCATGTCTGTAATCCAAATGCTGTCTTGTTTCTGAAGCTGAAGCTAGCCTGCAAAGTTGGTGACTGTACTTTCTCTGTTGCTGCTTCCCTTTGCCCACAGTATGCTCTGGGTGGTTGAGTCTGACTTGTGATTGGCCTAGTCCAGCCTCAGCAGCTTTCTTGTCTGGGGACCCAGCCTCCGGGCACAGATGCCCTCATTGAGGACATCTGGGCCCATGCCAGGGTGCTGCATGTGGCCTCTCCGGGCAGTGGCTGGCCACAGGAGCATGGCCCAGAGTACATGGGTATTGTCCCTTCAGTTCTGCTGGTCTAATTGTTAATGAAATCCATGTTTTTTAGCTAAAATCCTTGTTCTTTGCGCTGGATGTGCAGAACAAGGGGATTGTGGTCTGTGGCAAGGGCCTAAAGCAAGTAGCTGTGAGAAAACTGAGCATGGCAGCTGTTAAACTGCATCCACCTGACTAGCGTCATCCTGCCCTTGTACCACCCCTAAGTTACCACAGGACCTGTTTTGACTTCAGCTCTGCTCTCTGTTGGGCTGGTGCAGCAGCCGAAGCCAGCAGGGAAACTGAGCTGGTCTGGTTTAAATGCAACCTCCTGCCTTCCCTCTGGATCTTTGGACCTGGGTCTGTTCCGAGTTTGGTTTGCTCTCTCAGCCTCGCAGACCACGTACTGGCACAGGCGAGTAGGTGGAAAGAGGCAGCAGTGGGATTGTCGAACTGGCACTGCGGCCAGGGAAAAAAAATTGTTCATTGAATTATGCACTGGACAAGGAACATTTGGGTGTGCTGAGGGAAACAGCTCTGTCCTGTTAATTACCGCTGTGCTTTAATGGAAGGGACGTGCTGTAACTGAAACCACTGTATGTGGGTTTTTTCTCACAGTTTTTTCTCACTTTTAGGGTTTTTTTCCTGACGTTTTCCCTGTGAATCCCTAGACTTTCTTGTTTAGTAGGCTGAACCACAGATAAATCATAGTTGTACAGTAGATGAGAGGTTCTTTCTTCCCCCTTCTCCCTGCAAATACCTTTGTGGTTAAGAAATGCTGGGAAGAGTGGAGTTCTGCTTCCGATCTTGAAGCAGAGGCGCATCACGGTGCTGTCACTCTCCCTCCTTAGCGTGAAAGGAAGGACACACAACTAAAAAGCAGCAGTAAAAACCCTTGCAGGTTGGTAGAGATTGCATAGGAGTTGCGCACTCAGGCCCCAGGCAGTGAGGTTCTTGATGCTGTCAGTTTGCTTCAGTGCCTGAAGTTAATTTTTCGTTAACTTCACCTAAAGGAGATGATAGCTAAATAAAGAAAATCCTGCTGTTGGCAAAACTGATTTTTCCACTGCTGTACCAATACAAATTTTGGGGAGACTTAATTGGAGGCTTGGCGAAAGAACCTAGGTGGTTGTGTACTAGAACTGTGTAAAAGTACCAGCATAATTCTTGGAGGTTCATTTAACAAACTATCTTACACTTACAGCTATCTTACACTTTTTCCTAAGAATCTCATCTTCATTCAGATAAAAGCATGTTTATGAAACTTACACACAGAGCAGTGGGTACTGCCTTCTTTGGGTGTGTATTGTTTTGTGTTCGTGCATGTATAACATTGCCTTTGGAAAAGCTGGCCCCTCCGGCAGCATGCTTAGCTGCTCAGTACTGGTGCAAACCGGGCTGGAAGCAGCTGGTGTGGACGAGGGAGGAAAGTGCTGTGGCTGGGTGCTGTAGGCCTGTGCTTTGGCGGGTGCTGTAGGTCCTGCTAAGGTCCTGTGTCGCAGGCCTGTGGCACTGTGTAGCACTGGGCTGTGTAAGCATGCTCTAGGAAAAAAGCCTTAGCTGTCAGTGATGTGCATATTGAGGGTTTACAGAGTGACGTGGTGATGTCTAGAGGTTTTTCTTTTTTCTAATGCTGAACAATTTGCCTTTCTGACTGTTATGCACCACATCCATGTTTTCCTGAGATTCCTATGTAGTGGTAGAATAAGGTGCATGGTGGGAGGCACTAAACTGCCAGCAGTTGTTTTATCTCAGTCCTGACCTTACTTGTCCCACTATTATTTTTATCAGCAGTCAGTCTTTTGCAATTTTATCATGTAGTCGCTGAAGTGCAATACAGTTAAATATCTTCTGTTCTTGGCTGCTTGTTCCTACTCACCTCTCTGCTGAATCTGGTTGGGTCACCTTGTAAACCTGAGCACTGGTCTGACGTGTGTCAGGGGAAGGGAGTTAACTTTTGCAGAGTTTAATGCGCGTAGTTCCCTGATCTGGCTTGCAGCACAGCCTAAGAGTTGGTGGAGGAGATGGGAGGAGGCCTGTGCAGGAAATTCTCAGGATAGCTGTAGTGGAACTGCGTGGGGAGGCAGTAAATAGCAATTGCTGTCGACCTGAGTAGGGAAGGTATCTGAAAGCTTCATTTCTCTTACAGGTGAACAAGAATTTTGCAATTGATTTGATAGCAGAGCAGCCCGTGAGCGAAGTTGAAAGCAGAGTGATATCATGCGATGGTGGTGGTGGAGCTTTGGGACATCCTAAAGTATACATAAACTTGGTAATGTCTTTTGATCTGTGTATAGCATGTTTTGCCTGTTGATTCTCATGTGTAAGATGATCTACTTTTTGGCATGTTGGTTTGACAGAGTAAAAGGAGTAGTTACCCGAGATGCTCATTTTATTTGGTGCCTAATGTAAAATCAAGATTTATACTCAGAAGAGTTACAGTGTTTCCATTTGAAGTTGCAGAATTTTCTTTTGGATTCATAAGAGAATAATTTGGTTTCATAAGAGAATAATAAAGAAATTAACTGAAGTGATATGAACGAGCAGTGCCTTGAGAGCAAAAGGTAACATGCTGACTGTGTTTTGAGACACTAATTACTTAAATGCTACTGTGTAGGTTGAGGATACATTTGCAGTATTCTTAGAAATATGCTGGAGGGAGGGAACCCAAACCCCGTTTTCAGTCTTTGGGAATCTTGGTAGTTCTGAAGAGTGAACATTTCAGTCATGGTCAGAGAAATAAGTGAAGAATAAATAAATGTTGTTATCCTCCTATTTACAGTAGTAGTGGTACTCTCCTGTGTGTTCTTACTCTAGAGAGTAAAAATATTGAGGCTACTGTCCTATGGCCTCTGTGGAATCAACAACGACCTGTTGCTTAGGTACCATTCACAGGCAGACCCTGCCTGCAGATGTCTTACAATCTTTGCTCACGCCCCTAAATTTTGGCATTTGTTTAATGACCTAAAGAATGTGGGGGGAGAGGTGGTGTCCTTTATTGTCAGTGTTGTGACTCCTAACTATAGTCACAAGCATTTCTCTTTTGAACAAAGTGAGCACTTTATAGTGATTAATTTTACATTATTCAAGTCAAATTCTTGGAGATTCTAATTCGTAACACTTAACTTAAGGCTGAAGAACACAAGCTTAACTTCCATAGCACACTGCTGATGGTTTGCATTTACGTCAATTTTCCTGACCTGCACCACTCTGTTCTTCAATAATGCTTTGGTTTTTATGAATGCTGCCATCTTTTTGTGTTAATAATGAAATTACAAGACATCTGAGGTTAAGTTCTGGAAAGCTATTGTCTGCAAACAGAGAAAATGGTATTAGACCAGCTTGTTTCCACTAGCCCTACCAACTGAAACCCAGACTTTCAGGGGTAGAGGCTAGTCTGTGTTTTTCACTTCTAATCCTGTATTAAGGGGAACAATGAGTTTATTTTTTCATTACTGCAAATAGTTACGTTGCTAAATAACAAAATCGTAGAATTGTTTTGGTTGGAAAAGACCTTTAAGGTCATTGAGTCCAATTGTCAACCTAACACTGCCAAGACCACCACTAAACTATGTCCCTGAGTGTTTAATCTAACTCTCTTTTGTTGTGTTAAGGAGGACTACAACAACAGCTGGCAGTCAGTCACACTTCTAAACTTTAAAAAATACCTCTGTCTTTTGGAGACAAGAATAAAATTTTATACAGTAGTACCTGCAACTTTTCTCCAAAACATTTTCTTTTAGAATCTCTTGGAATCCTACTGAAATTTCCTCCTTCCTGCAGCTAACTCTGTCAACTTACATTATTGGCCAAAATTCCTGTCTAGTCAGAACTTGGAAATGCCAAATTCTTTAATTATGAAATTATCTCTTCCGTGACATTGGAGTAGATATGACTGAACTGACTGAAGTGAAGAGAGATCACTTGGCTTGACCTTAAACTTGTATTGTTGGGATTAGGCCTGGTTGTTAAAAGGCTGGCAGGAGGGAAGCTCTGTAGGCTACAGAAATCAAGCATGAACCTCCTACTGTTCTTACTTCCAGTGTTTCAAATAAGGTTAAATTCTGTACTTCAGTATATTGATCCATTTTAAGGTGGCACTTATAAATAAAAGAGAATTTGTAGTTTCTAAAAGTTTTTATAAAGTCAAACTAGCAGCTGTTGTGTTTTTATATTTTTGCAGGACAAAGATACAAAGACGGGAACGTGTGGCTACTGTGGACTTCAGTTTAAACAGAAACATCACTGAAAGATCATCCCTGTGTGCTTGCAGATTGCTGTTCAGCTGTTAATGTTTAACTATAAATAAACTGTATCTTTAGAAACCCAAGATTAATGTTCAAGTTTAACTATGGAAAGTTCAGTCTGTACCTTTTTAAAACCTAGCTTGTCCAGTATTTGAGGGCTGAATGGTGTAGCAATATCTGCTTTGTACTTAGTTTGGTTTTTATGGAACAAATGCCCTGCCTGATTTGGCAGACTTCTTGCAGGCTTGGAAGTGGCCTTTGGCTGCAGCACGGGTTTGGTTTGTACTGGGTAGATTTGTGTTCTTTTCAACATTGGAATTGGTTGTGAATGTTTATTGAGGGATTAATTATCCAAGGTGTTTATCTTTTGGCGTTTTTTGACACTCTTTAATTTGTTCATGGCCTAGTATCTCTAGCTGAATTCAAAAATGGAAGAACAAGGATGATATGATATGATATTCAGCATTACAGTGCTTATTCCTGGAAGCAAGATTGTTGTCCCTGAATTAAGTAACTACATTTGCTACTTGTTTTAAAGAAACAGCCAGTGCCTTAGAATGGTAATTGTTGTGAGCTGGAGAGTGACCTAAGATGGCACATGTGAAGGTGCATTTGTCGTCCAATTGAGAGGATTGGAGTGTAAATCATAGAATCACAGAACGATTTGGGTTGGAAGGGACCTGAAAGACCATCTAGTTCCAACCCCCCTGCCATGGGCAGGGACACCTTACAATAGACCAGGTTGCTCAAAGCCTCATCCAGCCTGGCCTTGAACACTTCCAGGGATGGGGCATCCACAGCTTCTCTGGGCAACCTGTTCCAGTGCCTCACCACCCTCTCTGGGAAGAATTTCTTCCTGATACCTAATCTAAACCTCCCCACTGTCAATTTAAACCCGTTACCCCTTGTCCTGTCACTACAGGCCCTTGTAAAAAGTTGTTGTCCCCCGCTCCACCTTCAGGTACTGGAAGACTGCTGTAAATACCTGATTCTTCTTGGGTTTCAAGGGTGTAAATCCTCTCTAGGAACTTGGTCTTGTCAGACTCGAAGTAGGGATTGCTTTGTTACAGGTAGCAGATTCTGCTCCTTTAATAATGATAATCTGACAATGATAGCATCCACCTGTGTGTAACACTGCCTAGGCCACATCAGGCTGGTTGTAGGTCATGATCTACGCTTTTGCTTGATTTCACTTGCATAGCATTAATATAAGCATGACTGTCAAAGGGGGCGTGTGTCTGGAGAAGGAGGGTCTGAGCTTTGGTCTTTGCTCCAGAGAGTATTTTAATTTGTTGCCAGTAAATTGTGTGGGTTTTTTTTTAAACACTGGTGATGAAACATGGTCCCAGGTAGTAATTGCTGCTTGGTCAAATTTAACAGGGCATGATTCTAAACCTGCAGTATATATGGCTTTAGTTAAATTGGTGTGGTGTATCAAGTTAAACCAAATCATGTGGGCCTACAGCTGCTTAACTTCCTGGTGTCAGTTTATAGATTTAATTGAACCAACACAATTGTGCTTAAGGAAAGGTCTGAACTATTGTCTGTAGAATTTGGATGTTTAGAGGCTTATCACTACAATTATTTACATGCCTCATTTTTCATTCATTCCACCTATGAGAGCTTAGCATCCCTTTCTGTCTCTTCCCCTTCTTCGTCTCCTTTCTGTTGCTACTGGTTCCAGTGATCATCTGACTGGCCTTCAAGTCATTCTTTGTAATGACCTATATTTAGGAAGCAATATTTGAGTTATGCGTCGTAAATTCAGTGTAGGTTACTGAGCACTGACTTTTCGGTGGCAGGGTGTGACTGAGGCTACATGGATCTTACTGGTGTAGTTTTGTAGTGTTAGTGCAGTGGCCAGGTTCAAGAAAACTGAATGCATGTTGTGTTTTGAGTAGCACCTGAATGTGTACAATGATGGCAGAGGATCCTTTCATAAAACCCAATAGCTTGCATTCAGCCTGTCAGACCTTATGCAAAGGATCTGACAGTTGAGCATAGATGTGACATAAATGGTTTTCTGGTAAGTCCATCTCATAGTCTAAATATAAATTAATCACTTGAACTTGCAGTGTCTGTCTTGCAGTGTAAATCTGGTTCGTCTGTCGTCTGGCTCACTACCAGTTTGTAGAGTGTCGTGCTGGGACAGTTCTCTTGTGGTGCCATCATCTCTATAACGAGACCTGAAACAAGTAATCATATGTGGTCCTCTTCCTTGGACCTTTGGTTTTCTTATGAATAATATATCTGCTCGGATCACTGCTGCTCATAATAAATTAACAATGTTTAAATTGGCACGGCATCTGCGGAGGACCCAGACAAATCCCATCCCAGTGGTCTCAACGATGGAGCACTGTTCTTGGATATTCTCCCTGAAGTACTTGTGACACGTGAAGATGTTGACACCACTGAAACAAGGTCTCTACTTTGTTCTGATGATCTTCATTGGAAAATTCAGACTTTGCTCCTTAATAGTTTCTTGTGTGTGAGGGTTCTGTGTGCCTAGTTGGTTGTTTATATGAAGCCTTGAGTTGTGAGCCACGCCATCCACATACCTGTGGAAAGGCCAACCTTTACCTGCAGGAAAGAAGTGAGGGAAAGCAGAAACTCTTACCTTGGTGGTCATAAGCAGACACATGTGAAATGGATCACAGTGACGATAGGCTAAAACACATCAGTATCAAATCAGCATTATGGTTCTCAGGCAACAACTTCAGACTAGAAAGCAATATGGAATAAAATTTTTGGGCTTAAATTCTGTCAGTCACTGTTGTGTTTTTCATAAATAATTCATCCCAGGCTGGAACAATGGTCTCCTATTCTGGTTGCCAGAGTACAAACCATAGTTTATACCCAGTCGCTATGGAAATATGAAGTATTCTGCATCTGTGCGTTAGCTCGTCTTAACAACTGTATCTTGCCTTTACCTACTAAAACAAGGTAGCCTCTTTTCTCTTTACTGCCACATATATTAAGCTTTCCTTTGTGAAAGTCACTATATATAAATTTCCAAACCAAATAAGTAACATCCATCCTCTTCCCCATATTACTCAATATCTCTCTGACCTCTAACTAAAATGAACCTACAAGGCAAGTCCTGTTTGAACACAAGAGCACAAAGCTCTAGTCTGACTACAGCACAATATGCAAGTGCAATGATTTTAAAGCTTCTTGCAGTTGTATGGCATTTGTGCTCTGGAAGTTACTGTTGTAATGGCCTTCTCCCAGTCAGCAAACAGTATCCCTCTACTTCTTACTCTCTGATCTGCCAGTAATACTTGTGCTTTTTATTTCATCTGATACTTGCAACAGCATTAAGAACAGCATACTGTAATAGCAATAGAAACGTGTGGGCCTCTAACATCCACGCTGTTGGCATTCTTCGGAGTGTTCCCTGCTATTATCTGCATTGGTTTGAGAGGCAATTACACCTTCCCGTAGTGATCTCCGACTACGAAGTCTAAATTCAGACAGGGATTCTTGAGGACCACATCTGGCAGGTCAGTCTTGGCAACAGAATAGACTGAGCAGCAGAAGAAAGACCCTGCATTCACCTTGTCGTAAGGTTCACGGTGCAAATTACCACGCGTCTCCCTCTCCAGAGGTCCATCAGGACTTGTGTAACTAGGGAAGAACAGCAGTCGCAGTTTTCGTAATCAGAGGCAACGTAGTCGAGCAAAAATAGTTGAATTAAAACCATGATAGGTATTGATGCTGTAAATGTCACTGACGTGGAGGATCATCCTTTCACATGATTTTGTTTCTGTGAGGCATCGCCCGGTTTTAGCAGCCTGGGCGACGAGGTATTTGTTGAAGACCTCACGTGCCCAGGTAGCAACAGCTTTCACTCCGAGCTTTCCAGATCCCAAATAATTTCCTACTGACTGATTGCAATGGGGGGTTGCTAGCAGAACATGATTATCCAATTTTCCATGCACAAAGCAGCTTGTGGATCTCAGATGTCTTTGAGATATGATGAATTCAACTGACAGTTACCAAAACTTATGCACCTGAAAGTTATACAGTTGTTATCAATTGTCCCGTATTGATTATTGTTATCGATTATTAATCCAGTCACTTGATGCTCATTTCACCATCCAGAATCCTCAGCATCCAGGTGTCAGAAATTGAGCTGGCAAAGCAAAAATTGCCATGTGGAAGAACAGATTATGGGCAGAGGAACCAGGGATGTAATGTGTGCAATGTGGAAATGATGTGATAGAGCGCTGGGAACATTGCCTTAAAGCACCTCTCTTCTTTGGGGGAGGGGGCATGGGCTCATAGTTTCCTTTAGTGTGGTACAAATGCTGTGAGAATACACATAACTGCACTCAGCCATACATCTTCTGATACCACATCTGGCTTTAGGAAGTATTCCCCATCGGTCTGCTGTGGACACATACTGGCAGCTGTATGCCAGGACAAATGCTATCCACAGCACTTTGTAGTGCAGATGTCTTTTTAGGGAGCGCTAGAACTCAAGCCAAAAATTCTCATCCCTAAGCAGTGTGAATCTAGTCATGAAATGAAAGTAAAAGTTAGGGAATTTGTAAAACTAGCTGCATTTTTGTAGGTGTTTCCCCACTTTTATTTAATATTGGCTTTGGATGTATTGTCTCCTTTGCACTTTTTAACGTTCTTCCTGTTTTCATTCTTGTCCTCTTCCATGTTTTTGTTGTTCCCCAGCTTTATTAAAGACGAGGTCTTTGACAAAGCAATGGCTAACTTAAAATAAGGTGGTCTCTTTGGAACAGCTTCCAATGCTTATCTCCTGCTTCAGTGAAAGAGAGCATAACTCAAAGGCCTGTTCTTTCTGAAACTGTCACTTGGTCTAACGCATACATTAAAATTACTTAAGTAGGCAGGCATTTGGTTGGATTTTTTCTTAATATGTGACTCAAGAAATGTAAACTGCTTTCACTACAGTCACTAATAATTAAAATGAGAACTCTTTTTATTTTGGACTAATTACAAATATAGGAGAAAGATCTAAGGAAAC